GCAATTTAGCACACAACCTTGAGATGAATCACTCTTCCTGTGGAGGTGTGCCTCTGATGATGCCAAATACATCCTGAAATGGTAAGGGGAAGAGAAGCAGCAATTTTGGGGGCATATGGGTTGACATTTTTCTCCCTTCACCTGAGGGATGCTGGGAGGGGAGAGTAGGTTCAGATTTCATAGTTTTAAGGCACAAGGACATATTCAGAGGTGATGTAAGTGCAACATTGGTCAGTGATTATATGGGAATCTCCTGTTTTGTTGTATATGTCATGGGGGTGAAGTAAAGTATTAAAGTATGAGGTGACCTACTTTAATTTAGTGATAGAAATGTAGCCGTGTTAGTCTGGTGTAGCTGAAACAAAATACAGGACTAAGTAGCACTTTAAAGACTAACAAGATGGTTTATTAGATGATGAGCTTTCGTGGGCCAGACCCACTTCCTCAGATCAAATAGTGGAAGAAAATAGTTACAGCCATATATACCAAAGGATACAATTAAAGAAAGTGAACATTTTTAATTGTATCCTGTGGTATATATGGTTGTGACTATTTTCTCCCACTATTTGATCTGAGGAAGTGGGTCTGGCCCACGAAAGCTCATCCCCTAATAAACCGTCTTGTTAGTCTTTAAAGTGCTACATAGTCTTGTATTTTACTTTAATTTACACCTTCTTATTCACTCATGTTACACCCCTCTGGTCTGATGGGGTGTAAATTACACTCTGTTAGATCACGCACACTTACCAATTTGCATCACCCCTGAATTTGGGCCGTGGGAAGATAATCCTTTTGTAAGTGAAGTGATATAATTTGGCAGATTGCCTTTCAGATTCCCTAATGCCCTACCTCTCTGCATTCAACATGCTCCCAATAACTTTTGTAACCCCAAGGCCAGTATCAAGTTCTAGGGTCTGTGATGGGTCCTCCACTATGCTTCTCTTTGATCTTTGCTCATCTTCAGTACCATCTGCTACATTGACTGAACCAGCTCGGAGTCCTTCCCAAATAGGTGTTAAATTTTCTGAGCTACTAATGTTGTCAGTATGGGGACTACACCAGAGACCAAAGTAAATCTGAAATGTCCTTACTCCCTGTGATAGATATGGGAGAAGATGGTGCAAATCCTTATTCATGTGAGTAATCCCTGCTTATGTGAACTGTCCCTTTGCAGTCAATATGATGCACCCTTGAAGTCAACAGCGTTGTTCTTTGTGAGTTGGGTCTACTCTCATAAATGTGGTATTGCATGTCGATGCAAAATCAAGCAGGGCTGCAGGGGCTTACATACATTTGCAAGATCTCAGCTAGCTCTGCATTTGCAAATATATGTTAAGTCTTCACAGCTCGCTTGCTCTTGCATTCCTTCAATAGCACATTATCATAAAAGTATTCCCTTGGCTTGCAGAGAGTTTATCACAGATTCAAGATGAATGTGCATTAAAAAGAATCTGATTGTAATTACTGTGGCTCTGCTCTGAGTTTTGGAAAGTTCATCCTCCTGCAATGACACAAGGGCATTAAAGTGAAGGCATAGCATGGCCCCCGGTAGCAGGGGTCAAATCTGTTGATTGCCAGGAGGAGCACATAGAGGCGTTGACTCTGAAAACAGCCTTAAAAAATGACCTGGCAGTTTTCCTAATCTGGAAAAGCTCTAAATGGTCCTGATTTCATTTTTTCTCAGCCTGCCTTTGTCTCACAATAGTGTGAGAGTGGGTTAATTTGAGGACTGATTGGTATATTGACAAACCTGACTCAAGTTTGCAACCCCGAGGATAGTATGTGGGAAGGCAGAATAACGGAAATAAACAATCCCAGTCAAGCTTTTGGGCCAAATTGAAACGTGATCTAAGCAGGTGTGATGCTGGGTCAGGGTATTGACCTTAGCAGGGCCAACAGCCATTGTGGGTCTGGGAGCAAGGTGTGGGGTAGAAGTGGTGGGGCCGAGGGCAGTCAGCTCATAGCATTCCTGTACTCTCAGCAATTCAAACACCAGGTTCCAGGGGAGCTACCCTCTTTCCCCTTCCCTTCTATCCCCTCCCCATTCCCGGTCGGCTGACCTGACTGACTTTCTCACACCAGACCTGACTTTGCTCTGTACACAAGAATGAAAATAAATAGATGACTCAGCAGTGCAGAGGAACAATGGAAAAAGAATGACATGTTAGAGTACAGGTATATAGCGAGGTCAACGTGGCACTGCTTGAATTATTGCCCATCAGTGTGAGCAAAGACTCCACAATCTAGTTTATAAAAAGTCAGTGTGATCTGGTGAACAGAGCCCCAGGATTGGGCATTTGGAGTTCTAGATAAGATTGCATTCGTTCAGTGTGACCTTGCTGAAGGGACTTCTTTTCTCTCTGCCAGCTTTCTCTTCCTGTCCTCTGCCGGTTTAGCTTGTAAGCTCTTTAGGGCAGTAACTGTCTCACTGTGTGTGTGAGCATCTTCCAACACAGTGGGGCCTGGAGCTCAGCTGGTGTCTTTTGATATTACTATAATACTAGTAATGATAAAGGCTTTGGGACTTCAGAGGCTAGTTAGAACATTAGTATGAACAGGATCAGACTGTTCAGAGCTCTGGTAACAGGAGTTAAAACTTTTTATCTCCTAAGTTGTTGTTCTTCTTGTGTCCTACCTTAATCATAGGTTTTTTCACTGTTGGCCATGTGATATTGCTCAATAGATAGACCTGGTGAGATCTTCCATTATTCACAATTCCTTAAGGAGCCAGCAGAACAAAAGAGGGTCCCTGGTTTGTGTTTCACCACACTCACAAGTGTCTGTCGTTAGAATAGTCCCACTTCCACATGTTGACTTTTGACCTGCCAGCTCTTGGTCAGAGGCAATTTTAAACATCTCCAAGTAGGCCATGTCAGTGTGAATTTTGACCACCTCATTGATTATTTTGAGCTGTGCACATCATATTTCCAGTTGTGTAGCCGTCAGTAATTTCTTATAAGGGTTACAGAAAGCTTTCCCATGATTTCTCGTGGCTAATTGCTATGGTGTGGCCAAATAGCAGATGTCTGGTTATCTTCAGCCTGTTGTAATCATTCCAACCTGCTGTAAGTATGGCAGTTCTTGTGCAAGAATCCGCAGAGCGTCCACACGGCCCGCATGCTCCTGCGCAAGGAAATGCCAGCTTTCTCTTCCTGTCCTTTGCCGGTTTAGCTTGTAAGCTCTTTAGGGCAGTAACTGTCTCACTGTGTGTGTGAGCATCTTCCAACACAGTGGGGCCTGGAGCTCAGCTGGTGTCTTTTGATATTACTATAATACTAGTAATGATAAAGGCTTTGGGACTTCAGAGGCTAGTTAGAACATTAGTATGAACAGGATCAGACTGTTCAGAGCTCTGGTAACAGGAGTTAAAACTTTTTATCTCCTAAGTTGTTGTTCTTCTTGTGTCCTACCTTAATCATAGGTTTTTTCACTGTTGGCCATGTGATATTGCTCAATAGATAGACCTGGTGAGATCTTCCATTATTCACAATTCCTTAAGGAGCCAGCAGAACAAAAGAGGGTCCCTGGTTTGTGTTTCACCACACTCACAAGTGTCTGTCGTTAGAATAGTCCCACTTCCACATGTTGACTTTTGACCTGCCAGCTCTTGGTCAGAGGCAATTTTAAACATCTCCAAGTAGGCCATGTCAGTGTGAATTTTGACCACCTCATTGATTATTTTGAGCTGTGCACATCATATTTCCAGTTGTGTAGCCGTCAGTAATTTCTTATAAGGGTTACAGAAAGCTTTCCCATGATTTCTCGTGGCTAATTGCTATGGTGTGGCCAAATAGCAGATGTCTGGTTATCTTCAGCCTGTTGTAATCATTCCAACCTGCTGTAAGTATGGCAGTTCTTGTGCAAGAATCCGCAGAGCGTCCACACGGCCCGCATGCTCCTGCGCAAGGAAATTTACTGTACAGTGTGGTAAGAGAGGGCTTCTTGCGCAAGAGCTCTTGCGCAAGAGGGCTTACACCTGTTAAAAAAGAGTGTAGCTCTTGCGCAAGAGGGCTTACACCTGTTAAAAAAGAGTGTAGCTCTTGCGCAAGAGGGCTTACACCTGTTAAAAAAGAGTGTAGCTCTTGCGCAAGAGGGCTTACACCTGTTAAAAAAGAGTGTAGCTCTTGCGCAAGAGGGCAGTGTGGACACTTGGCCAGGGTTTCTTGCACAAGAACCCTTGCGCAAGATGTTTTTGTGCAAGAAGCCGCTAGTGTAGACATAGCCTTAGTGATTTTTAAACTGATTTGTTGTTAGACAGGGCCTAGCTACAATGTGTGAGCCAATCTTTCCTGCACCAGACATGAGTAATCTGCCACCAGATAGCAAAGTGCAAGTGCAGTGGCTCATAGTGTGGCTGGGTTGTTTCCCCTTTTTGAAATTGTACTCTTCTTCAGTGTGGTGTTCTGGGTGCTAACTTTGCCTTTTGTCTTCTCCTCATGAGCCTGGAAGGAGAGAGTGCAGTCTAGCATCTCTCCAGGGTAGACTAGATTCCAGCCATGGGCAAGGGGAGCTCCATTCCAGATGATGTTAGGTTGCCATTGGACTCAAGATTCTAAAGATGGAAGAAATACTGTAATGGACAGGAAGAGTGCTGACCAGCACCCAGTGTCTCAGGAGTTAAACTCAGGTAGCTAGCAAAGGTGTTGGCCCAGGGAGCCGGGAGAACCCATTAAGATAGTGTTGAAATTTGAATTGGATATAGATTCCTAACCTGCTTTGTTTGTGTGGAAGAGATAAACCAGGAGTTGAGAGACAAAGAATGATTTAAACCCAGTCAAGACTATCATGTCTTCAAGGAATTTGGGGAATGGGACTGGACTGAACAAAGAGAAAATTGCAAGTAAATAAAAGGAAAGCGGATCTGGTGGTGATCAGGGTATTTTTCTTTATTTTAGCATTTGGTTTGAACTGTTCTGTGTGACTCTATGCCTCCCTTCCCTCCCCCCCATTTACCATCGCACATTGTGCCCAGAGACTTTTCTCTGTGCTCCCCTCCCTCCTCCCATTTACCATCGCGCATTGTGCCCAGAGACTTTTCTCTGTGTTCTAATTTGTTTTCATTAGTTCAGTCTGTAGTCGCATCCACAAAAACGAGCTGCGGATATCCACATCCACATCTGCAGACGCAGGTATCCCCCAGATGTAAAGTGGATATCTGCAGATTTGCAGGCCTGTACCCCTTTTCCCACCCTATCAGCAGGCCAGTATTGTTGGCAAAAGCCAGAAGAGTATGGTAGCCCCATTTCCATCAGCCGCTGTGGAAAGAACTGGGGAGCAGTGATCCAGAGTTAAACTCCAGTACTGTGCATCCACCCACTGTTCTGCTAGTTCACCATTTTCTTCAGTTAGTCACTGACAGTCACCCACGTTTTATCATGCTCAAGGTTATGTGGGCTGGCAAACTTAAATTGTTTGCACAGAGGATTGTAGATGGATATGATGGAAATGCCACTAGTGTCTGAAATCAGGAGTTAAATGTCATCGTTATTGGTCATAGATGTTGTGTTGTTGACGAGACCAGTTTTGATGGAAACAGGGCTGCCGTATTGCTTGTGTGGCTTTTCGATGGCCAAGTTCATCCTGAGAACCTGGGAGCTACGTGGTCACTTCCACATAACAATCTCCTACGTGGCATGTTTGGATCTGACTTAGGCCAGTAATGACATAAAGCCATTACCATTGGAGGACACTAAAATAAGTTGATTTTTTCACACAGTTTTCAAATATCTGATCAGGAAAAAGAATACAAATTTGTGTTCTCTCAGCAAGGCGAGACTGTCTTACCTTGCATTCCATTCGTAGCCCCCTCTCTGTGGGCGCATGTTTTGTTGTGGAATCATGAGCCACGAGTTTCCGATTCAGCACTGCTAACCTTGGCCCTCGATATTGTATTCTGCAGCTCTCTGCTAAATTCATCAAGACTTACATAGTCAATAGAGATGTCAAGCCAGTAAATCGAATGAAAGAAGTACTATTTGAAAGAGAAAATTAGCTGGGTCCTTTTGATAGGTATTTATGACACAAGGCTAGAATAGGCTTCACAGTCATCTAGGCACAGAAATCGTTTTCCAAACGCCAAGATGAAAGGGTGTTGATTGTTCATCTTCTTGCATGTTATTTTGGTTATCAAAGAGCCGTTTCCTGATGACTTCTCAAATGGTTAGTGACAATGGTTGCTGGCTAATGCAACCTAGCAGGCTAATGCAAATATTTAGGTATTCATATGACATGCTATTCTAGCAGGCTAATGCAAATATTTAGGTATTCATATGACATAGACTTCACAGATCACATTTGTGTCCAACTTCACTCCATCTACCATAGCATTTGGAGTCTGCCCATCTGCAGGAGCACATAGTAGTACTGCAGTGAACAGATATTTTTGGCACTGGAGTCAAACATTGTGATGCTGCTTCTCGGCTAGTGAAAATGGGCATAGTTTTATTGACTTCAGTGGAGCTATGCTTCTTTCCACCATCTGGGGAAAAGACCCCGTCAACTAAGAGCCAAAGACAGGGGCAAAGGTCAGAAGGGTGGGGTGGGGGATGATCAACATTTCTAGAAATCACTATGACTTTTTTCTGTAGGGGACTGATTGGAATCGTGATGTTTTAATAATCTATAATAACTTACTCAGGTCAGTGACCAAATCAACAAATGAGGATGCACAGCTGGATTAATTATTCTGTTGTACAGGTTGAACCTCTAAAATCCAGGACTCTCTGGCCTAGCAACATCCATGGACCAAAAAGCCCCAGCAGCCGGGATCAGGAGCTGGTCAGTAGTTCAGCAACTGGGAGCCCTGCCAGGGCTGGCAGTGGCTGGGGAGCTCTAACCCTGGGGAGCCCCAGCTGGGGCTGGCAGCAACGGCAGGGGAATCCCAGCTGGGGCGGCCAGGGAATCCCAGTCCCACAGAGCCTCAGCAGAGCAGGAGGCAGCTGGAAAGCTGCCACCAGCAAAGGGGAACAGGAGCCCCATTGGACCTGATTGGAGCCCAGGGGCAGGGACTTGTGGCAGGGAGTGGGGCCGACAGCCCGGAAGGCAACCCAGAAGCCGGGCCGGCAGCCAGCAGGAAAACACTGATCTCCCTGGTCTGGCAAACTCCCTGGTTCGGGATCTCTCAGGTCCCACCGGTGTTGGACTAGGGAGGTCCAACCTGTAAGAAGTATGAACTGATGTGCTGATAGTGACATCACAGTTTTAGAGTCACTGCTCCCCTCTTGTGGTCTCCCCCAGGGCTATGAGCAGTGCATCACTCGCAGTTCTGAGTCACAGCCCAGCTTTTTCTAATAAACACGTTTAGTCTTCAAGTAAAAGCATCACAGAGAAAATAAATCCAATACAATAAAAGTTCCCATGTGCAAGCGAAAAGCATATCCAAGTCACCCACCATACTTATGAGCCTTTCCAGTTCTTCTGCGATGGATGGAGTCCCTCACGGGCAGAATGCCCTTGCTAGTTACCTTCAGTTAAATGCAGCCTCTTTATATCCAAAGTGCCTTCTTTGTCTGTTTGTCTCTGAAAATCCTAGGCTGAACCAGTCCCCAGCAGATGGTACCTCTCTGGAGATATTTACAAACTAAGCGATTTGGTGCCTGCAGGAGCTGTCTAGAGTTGCATACAACCCCTAGCCCACAGTGATACACAAACCATTCATAAACTGAATACAATATGGTCCCCAAAGATACTGCATGGGTTTGCAGTATCTGTTGCAGATGTGATTAGTGCTAATTATACATCGGCACATATGTTGATGCCTTAAAAGGGAAGGGTGAATATTTATGCTTGTTACAGCTAAGCCATTTGTCTGCCATGTAAAATGTGCATTAGGAGAAGGGGGTAGAATTCCATGTATGATGTAGCAACGCCACTCCTTAAGGGATATAAGACTGACAGTAATAATGACAGAGTGGGTTGATTAGTCTGATGTGTCCTGATTTGTCTTTCCCTGAGCACCTTGCTCTCTCTAAAGAGCCTCATTCCATGGAAACAAGGCATGTTGAAATTTATGTCGATACCTCCGCTTGTTAAAGAGTGTCTGATTCTTGGAACATTTTTTCCACCAGAGATGCAAAAGCTGCATAATAGCAATAAATGAGATTAAAAGCAGATGGAGAAAATTCAGTCTATATCCAAATCACTTAGTGCCAAAATTAGCCTGTCTCCTGTGTTAGTTACTTCGATAGTGTTTATTTACTAGTGCAAATTTCTAGTACCTAGATTCAACTTCCCATCAACAATCTATCTATTTAATTCCTTATCCACAGATGCTACAGTCAGTGGTTAAAAAACCCAAGTCCCATACAAAGCAGCATAAGGATCAGAGAGCTCATTTCCTTTGTAAAAAAAAAAATGAAGCAAAATGTGCATCTCACACAGTAGCTGGTCTTTTCAGAGGACCCTAAAGGAACTGGTCACCCAAATCCCATTGACAATCTTAGTTTCTTTTGAAAATCCAGGCTCATGTGTTTAGCAGCATTCAGCCCCAGTGTGTAGGGGTTTGTGGATGAAAATGCGATTTGCATACTTTATCTATGGATATGCGTCCCATAGTGTGCTACTCAGGTAGGCTACGTCTACACTGGCCCCTTTTCCGGAAGGGGCATGTAAATTTCACCAGTCGTCGTAGGGAAATCCGCGGGGGATTTAAATATCCCCCGCGGCATTTAAATAAAAATGTCCGCCGCTTTTTTCTGGCTTTTAAAAAAGCCGGAAAAGAGCGTCTAGACTGGCCCCGATCCTCCGGAAAAAGCGCCCTTTTCCGGAGGAGTCTTGAAGAGGTGTTGGGGGGCAGGCAGTAGTTAGTAGCTTTGAAGTAGGAATAAGAGCCTCCGGAAAAGGGCACTTTTTCCGGAGGATCGGGGCCAGTGTAGACGCTCTTTTCCGGCTTTTTTAAAAGCCGGAAAAAAGCGGCGGACATTTTTATTTAAATGCCGCGGGGGATATTTAAATCCCCCGCGGATTTCCCTACGACGACTGGTGAAATTTACATGCCCCTTCCGGAAAAGGGGCCAGTGTAGACGTAGCCGTAGTGTGTGTGCTATAGCACAGTATATTCACGTTGTGCCTTCCATCCATAGATCCCAGGGCACTTTATACATAAATCTCTCAACCCTCTGCAGATCAGTATGGTCTCCGTTTTACAGTCGGGAATTGTCACGAGTTGAGCTCTCACTGCCACGGCGCCTCCAACTGGTCACTTGGGGAATCAGCTCTCCTGCCTCAGCGTGCCCTCTGCGGGTCAGTGTCTCAGCCTCTGTGCCGTGTCTTCTGCTGGTTCAGCCCTGTGCCCCTAGTACTGCCCTGTGCCATTGCCCAGGCGCTCTGGGGTCCTCCCCTCCCAGGGAACCCCCAATTCTCCTATATCTACCATGCCTCAGTGACCCACTGTCAGTCATCATGCAAACTGCTGTTTAAAATGGCCACTCATCACTGGCAAGGGGGTATGGACCTGCTGCCTTCTTCTGTCCTGGCTGACTCCCTGCAGCCTAGCACCCTGAGGCCTTGTCTCAGGCCCTGCAGTCTGGGAGTAGAGTCAGGCCAGAGCCTCTTAGCTTTGACTGCCTTTTCCCAGCCCTGCTCTGTCTCAGGAAGCCTCTGGCTTCCCTGGCAGCCAGGTCCCTCCTGCTCCACAGCTGGAGCAAGAATGAGAGTGTTCCTGCACTCCAGGTGCCCTGATTTATACAGCCCCAGCTGGGCCCTAATTGGCTACTCTCTGCCATAGCTATGGGCTTCACCATCTCAGCCCTCTCCCAGGGCTCTCTACCCTCTCAGCCCTCTACATCTTCACCATCTCAGCCCTCAACCCTTATAGAGCCAGTGCAGGGCAGACACTCCACCGTAGGAAGACTGAGGCATACAGCGGTTAAGTCACATTGCCCTAGGACAAGCAGGCAGCAATTGGCAGGGCCAGCGATAGATCCCAGATCTCAGTTGTTTTGCTTATTCATAAGTCTGTCCTTCCTCCCCATCTGTGCAGAGCACAATACCAGACATGACACACTAGGATGAATGACTTCAACAACCATATCCATATGTAGTAGATTGGAGAACCATAGAAGACAGTGTTTAATCCCAAAGGGTACGCTAGCACTGACACAGGGCTTTTATTTTGCTTGAGGCTTGACTTAGCTGACACACAAAGCTTGGTAACTGTGTTTTCCTTCTTTAAAAACCCAAGCCGACTTACTTAGCAACTAGTCTCTGAATGCTTAACAAGAAAAAAAAACTTGCCTTCACATAGTAGCACCAGCGAATTCCCTCAAGGATACCGTTCTCCAAAGAGCAGTCTTTACACAACAGGTAGCTAGCGAGCTGGAGAAGTCAGGGCTTCATAATTCAACATTAATTTATATCTTCTCCATGTAAGTTATAGATGTCACTAGAGACCGAGTGACATGTGATGCTTTGTAAATTTAAGGTGAGGATGCAAAAGAAGCACTCGCTACAGGCTACATAACTACAGAGAGTTCTGCATTCCCTTCAGAACTGCAAATCAGGTGAATGTCGGCTTTACTGAACCAGGCAGACAGCACAGAGAGGGGTTCAATAATTGATGGCTAAGGATCAGTCAAGGCACATTTTTGACAGATTACAGTCCATTTTATGAGTGAAGTGCCTGCGATTTTTAATAGAGCTGCTACGAAAGGCAAACACAAATCAGAGATATGACCCTGCAAAGACTGAACATGAATTTAAATTTCTGGTCATTATTATCTAGTAGCTAAAGAGATCAACATTATTAAATAAACTTCAACAAAGTGAGTATAATGTTCATGGTTTTTAACTCCACAAAGCAGAAAATTTTTATTGTCCTCTGCGCAATGGCTAAATTCTGATCTTATGCTAGTATAAATCTGGAATATTGGTTTAGAAGAGTACAGCTTGCTCTGGAAGGACAGGCAGGGGAAAAAGGGAGGAAGCGTTGCCTTGCATATTAAAAATGTATACAATTGGACAGAGGTTGAGATGGAAATAGGAGACAGACTTGTTGAGAGCCTCCGGGTAAGGATAAATGTCTAACAAGCACTGGTGAAGTTCTGTTAGGGGTCTACTACAGATCACCTATCCAGGAAGAAGAGGCTTTTTTCGACAACTAACAAAATCATCCTTGGTAGTGATGGGGGACTTCAACTATCCAGACAACTTTTGGGAAAATAACACAGCAGAGCACAGATTATCCAACAAGTTCTTGGAATGTATTGGAGCCATTTTTTTTTATTTCAGAAAGAAAGAGAAAGTTTCTAGGGGAAGTGAAGGCAAGTTGGGTGAAAATGATCATGAAATGGTAGAGGAAGGTTGGCTTATTAATTAATGAAGAAGGGAAAAACAATAACAGAAAATGTGGAAATGGCAGAGGTACTTACTGGCTTCTTTGTTTTGGTTTTCACCAGTAAGTTTGGTGGTGATTGGACATCTAACATAGTGAATGCCAGTGAAAACGGGGCAGGTTCAGAAGCTAGAATGGGAAAAGAACAAGTTAAAAAATTCCCTAGACACATTAGATATCTTCAAGTGATCAGGGCATGATGAATTGTGTCCCAAGGTATTCAAGGAGTTGATTGAGGAGATATTCAAGCCATTAGCTATTATCTTATTCCAGAAGACTGGAGAAAGGCAACTATAGTGCCCATCTGTAAAAGTGGAAATAAGGACAACCCAGGGAATTACAGACCAATCAGCTTAACTTCCGTACCAAGAAATGGGGTAAATAATTAAGGAATCCATTTGCAAACATCTGGAAAAGAATAACATGATAAATAACAGTCAGCATGGATTTGTAAAGGACAAATCATGGTAAGCAAACTTGATAACTTTTTTTGATAGGACAGCAAGCCTTATGGATAAGGGGGAAGTGGTAGATGTGGTGTATCTAGACTTTAGTAAGGCATTTAATACAGTCTTGCATGACCTTCTCATTAAAGAACTAGGGAAATGCCACCTAGATGGAGCTATTATAAAGTGGATGCAAAACTGGTTGGATAACCATTCCCAGAGAGTAGTTATAAATGGTTCACAGTAATACTGGAAGGGCGTAATGGATGGAGTTCTGCAGAGATCAGTTCTGGGACCAGTTCTGTTCAATATCTTCATTAATGATTTACATAATTGCATAGAGAATACTCTTGTAAAATTTGCAGATTATACCAAGCTGGAAGGGGTTGCAAGTCCTTTGGGGGATGGGATTGTAATTCAATATGCTCTGATCAAATTAGATAAATGGTCTGAGGTAAATCATATGACATTCAGTAAGGACTAATACAAACTACTCCTCTTAGGAAGAAACAGTCAGTTTCACACATACAAAATGGGAAATGACTATGTGGGAAGGAATATGGCGGAAAGGGATCTAAGGGTCATAGTACACCAGAAATTAAATAGGACGGTACAGAAATTACTCTAAAAATCTATAGAATTTCATAGAGAATAAAAACTTTCTATAGGATTGCAATCCTTATGCAGAGAAATATAATTCTAATATAGATCTGAATAGGTTGGCCCATTCCATGGGAGGGTTATAATTATGTATTAAAATGGGTATGGTCTTTCCATGAGGTAGATAAAACTGGAATGTGGTGGCTCCTTACTTTATCGAGGTTAAGATCAGGTCCTTATGGCTATGTCTAGATAGTGGTGCTATTTTGGGATACTGGAAACAGCTATTCCACATCTTTAAACATGCCCGTTATTTCAAAATAGGTTATGAAATAATGGGTGTGCTAGACCAGCATCACTGTAACCCTCGTTCCACGAGAGTTAAGGGACATTTTGGAATAGCACTTTATTTTGAAATTAGATTGAAATAAGATACGTAATTTGCTATGGAAGATAGTTGAATTGTGATTTTGTGGTGTGCCTGGAAAGTGCCCAATGGAATAGTTCTGTAGAGGATAATAGAAAAAAGCAGTCCCTTTATTTTGGCTTGTGAACCATTATCTAGAATTGAATAGAAAATTATACCCCTGCGAAACATCCTTCTCTGGCCTTGAGAAAAAAAATCTTTCCTGGCCTCATGTCCATTCCGAATGCTGCTGTAAAGATCATTTTCCTAGCCCAATGCCTTCGCCATGACACCCTCTCCTTGAATCCCACAGCTGGTTCTCCCTTCTCTGTCATATCAAATACAAGTCCTCCACTACCCACTTGTTATATCTTAACCCCAAGCCCTCGTGCTTTCTCCCGTCCTGCCCGTCACGTTTGAGAGATGGGCCCTGTAAACATCCACAAACCAATCTCTTTATCCACCTTTAAAACTCTGCTTTGCATGACTCCCACAAAACACTTGACAATGATTAGGCTGGGTCGCTGAGGACTCTGCCTGTCATGGTGACCAATAGTCTCTCATTGTTTGTTTCATTGTTCACCCTCATCTATCTCTATCCAGCTGTCGTCTCTCATTGTATACGTAGTTTATAAGTCTTTTGGGGCAGGGGCCATCTTTTAGTTCACTGCTCATCCAGCACCTAATACAGGGGTGGCCAACCCATTTAACAAAGAGAGCTGAAATACCAGCGGAGGGGAAAAAAAGGAAAAGTCCCACAGAATTGTCAAGAAAAAAAAAAAAAGAGGCTGCCCGTTTAAGAAACCAGCTTAGGCCATATCAGGCTCCTGTCAACGGGCGCCATCTTGGGCGCCATTTTGAATTGCTGCCCTAGTGAGCACAGGGCAGTCGGGGTAGCTGGGGGTGGGGGCCATTGGGAGAGGCACAGGGGGGAGAAGAGCCACAAGATGGCCACCCCGACCTAACACTATGGGTCCTGTTTTATGGATAAGGCTCTTTGGTGCTATGGTACTACATATAAATCATAATAATAATCAGACTCTACAATACTCTAATCTACAGGGTGGTTAAAAATACCTGCACATGGTAATCTCATTCCCTATCGAATTATATAGATGTTTGGAGTGATTTCTCTTGAGCTCTACTGTTACATCTCTCTTAAATTGGTTGGGCTTTTTTCTTAAAAATGGTTTTCCTGTTGCTGATGACATTTTCTAAACCACTTGGAAGACTGCTTAGTGAAATGGAGAGTTGCCTTCCAAGGCACAGTTAATTACTATGCAATCTCAACCATTCCCCCTGCCCCTACCCCCGCACCAATTACCTTGCCATAGTCAAGAAGACTGGTTTATAGCAAGGGGTCTCCTCTTGCAAACATCGCATTTCTCTGTCAAAGTGGCAAGAAATCTTCTCCACCTAGGCACTTTACAAAGGAGGAAGTCCTGAGCAGCTTTCTGCTAACATGTGCCAGCCACCCTAAGAGATGGTGGGAGGCTGGAAGGGCCTGGCCAGAAGGCCATTAAAGGGTGCAGTAGAAGCCATGTGTCCCTTGAATGCTTTGGCAGGCCTTGGGTATTGGGCTTTACATTGCTTATGTTACAGTGAAGCTGTAATAACACCACTCGTGAGGACAACCTTTTCAAGAGACTATTTGACTTTGACTTACTGCAGCCATGAAGCTGACTAGCTGACTGGTCGTTATCTACAAAAAAAGCAGCATTCTGTTGTTTTCCCTCAATGGGAATTTTCTCTAGATTTGTATCTACGAATTGAGATGCCAGATTGAAAGCTCACTTTATCCCCAGGACAAGGAAAGCATAAGGAGTGGTGGTGCAGTATCCCATGTAGTGATCTCAACATACCTCACACAATTTCTGTAGGGATCACACCAAAATGTCATTGGCTTTTTCAGCCTGTGTCCCTTCTGTTTAAATCGTCAACTGTAGTGTTTATTAGCATCAGCTCTGCAAGTACAGAGGCTTTTTTATGTAGACACCCACCCACAGGGACCTGGATTAACATGGCCCTCATTCCCAGTTGCCAAGAATCTGCGATGCAGCCACATTCTATTCTAAAGCAGTCAGTTTCTCATGAACATAATTTAACAACACAATGCTGGTAATGAGGCTTTCACTGCATATGTGATTTGGTATTTGCTTGCTCTAATTAATGTGATATTCTAAACATGCTCTTAAGCTCCAGAAAACTCATAATCAGTGAACTTCAATGCTTTCAGAAACCAAAATGAAAACAAAAATAATATTTCCTATATTAATTTTTCTTGTAGACATTTCAGTCAGAACGTGGGGGCAAAGATCTCTCAAAACTAATTACAAAAAACCCCCAACCCCCTTGCTTTAAATTTCTTCCAGGATTGTATGTTGTGTCTAAGAAAACAGATTTTCCTTTGGTATCATGCCTTTTTTCCCCTCATGTCCCAAGGATGTATTCAACCAGCATACATCCATTTACAGAATTGCAATAAGTCAGCTGAAGACAGATTTCTGTTGCAGACCTTGTGGGAATAAACTGAGTAAATAGATATTTCTTATTTGTAAGGCAAAGCAGGAAAAAATGTGGTAGGTGAGGAAATAGCCTCCGTAGATTTTGTTCAGAGATTTGTTGGGTTTGCCAATGGAAAGGTGGGGAAATGGGCACAGCCATCAGTTCTCATTCCATATTTTTCAGCAGTGTCAGCACAAGTGATTCCGCAAACGTGCCATAAGCGTTGTACCGTCCAAGCACAAATGCTTGCTGTCCTGTACATATGAAACTAGGAATTCTAACTGGGACTTCCAAGGGAAGATCTGGGTGTGTGTGTGTGTGTGTGTGTGTGTGTGTGTTCTGTCAGCCCGTTCAATTACTTCTTAAAGGCGTGGTTCTGCAAATGCTGTTTTTAAAAGGAAGATGGCCCTGTGTCTCTTTGGCCTGGGGCTTCTAGGGACTGGGTTGGATTCCTATGTGTCAGATAAAGCCTTTAGCAGAGCCGTCTTTTTTATGCTGTACTAGCTACGTTGGACATTACCTAGAGCTGCAGGGAATTTAGGGGGAGAGGACCTAAAATATCCTTCATGCGGAAGTCTTGGTTGCCGTCTGCAAGATTTCTCATCATTGTGCCCTTTAAAATATCCCATTGCCTCAGAAAAAACCCAGAGCATGTCTCCAGGAGGGGACACAATTGGTGCCTGCCTGCCTGATTGGATAGGCAGTGCTAAGGAGTGGAATTCTATCAGGCTGCAGATGCTGACAGATGAATCTAAAGCAGTTTTTCTTAAACTGTGTTCCTCAGCACACCGGTATGCCACGAGGCAGTCGGAGGTGTGCCGTTGAGAACAATAGAATTCAAAATGGCCGCCCTTAAAGGGGCAGGTGACCTTTTTTCTTTTTGCTCAGTAACTTTCCCCCAATCCCTTTTTTCCTCAATAGCTTTCCCCCTGACCCTTTTTCCTCTGACCTTTTTTTTTTCTGAACAAAAAAACCCTCATAAAAAAGTTGCTTGGTGTTCCTCAGTCTTAAAAAATTTAAGAAACACTTATCTAAAGCATTTGGAGATGACATAGACTCTCTTGCTCTACTGCCGTTGAGAATTCTCTCTGGACTAGGGATGTAAGTCGCTACTTGACTAGTCACTTCCCCCTCACCCCACTTGCTGAATCTGTGGCAGCAAAGAAGGGGGAGCAGGAGTTGATGCTGGTGGGAGCCAGCTTAAAAGCCGGTTCCACCCAGCACCATCTCCATTAGAGTTGCCAGGTATCCAGTATTGAACCAGACAGTCCAGTATTTTTGCCTCCTGTCCGGTAAAAACAAATCAGAAAATACCAGACATATAAAATGTCTGGTATTTTCTGATTTTTTTTTCCCAGCCAGGAGGCAAAAATCCCGGGTGCTTTCCGGGTTCTGCAGGGGAGCTGTCCGACCTGGCGCAAGGAGGCAGCCTGTTAGGGCCAAAAAGCATCAAAGGCATTTCTTAAAAGGGCCACGCTGGCTTAATTTTTTTTTTTTTTTTTGGCTCAGCAATCTTGGTCTCCTCCCTTTTTTTTCTCAGGTGTTTTTTTTGGGGGGGGTGCGGGGTGGTGGTCAGTATTTTTGGTTAAACCATCTGGCAACCTTAATCTCCATGGTGGGGGTGGGCAGGGGAGGCAGAAACACAGCAGGGAAAATGGCTCGAGCAGGAACTGAATGCTGTGCCTCTGCCTTTTAAATGTCTCTTACTACATTTAAAAGGCAGAGGCGCAGCAGTCGGGACCCCACGTGAGCGGGGACTGCTTCTGTCCCTGGTTCCCTGCTGCGCCTCTTACTACATTTAAAAGGCAGAGGTGCAGGGGGAATAGTGAGTCCCCCCCCTCCCCATCGACTAATCAAATAGTCGATGGAAATTCCATTGACTACTTGATTAGCAGATTAATTGAAATTTAATATCCCTGCTCTGGAATTCATCTGATTTTCCCAAGAACTGTCAAAAGTTTGATTATAGTATTATTCCTCCTAAGATCTGACAGTGCGACTAATGTTGTTTGCATTGTGGTAGTTCATAGAGGATTTGTGCTAGGCATTATACTATTGTGTAGAATGAGGAGATGATCCCTGACCCAAGAAGCTTATGTTCTAAGTAGATTTAAGACTGCAGAGGAGTTTCCGTAAATGCACATTTTGGGTTGAAGTCCTGTGAGGTGAATTTCATGGGAGCTATTGGAACTCTTTACCTTTTCAGGGCTTGGCTCTTGGTTTGTTCCTGAGAGTGTAAACTTACATACCATGTGTTTCTCCATAGAAATGCTGATTCATGGACCTAAGGTCAGAACAGACTTCTGCTATTATCTAGTCTGATCTTCTGATAAAACAGGCCATAGAGCTTCCCCCAAAACAATTCCTGAAGCTGTACACCAGCTGGAGTGAGTAACTACAGTGGGTGAGATTCATACGATTTGGAAACACACATTAACAACAATATTTGAAACGGTGGAACTGTAGTAACAAAAAAGCGCAAAGAAATAAGGCATTTTGAGGCTGCAGCAATGGGTGCAATAGACATTAAATGTAATTTTAACCTGAGAATTTAAAAACTATAATTAATTCGCATAGGTGTCCGGCCTCCTCGCAAAATTGAACAAACACGATGCAGGTCTTGAAGGCAACTTTGTTTCTGATCTGCTGGGCTGATGACTATTGATTTATTTATTCCACTTGGTGTTAATTTTCTTTGGACAATAATGCTCCGTATGGCTGGCTAATAGGTTGTTCCTTTTGTGATGTTTGTCTTTCAGCATCTTGGGATCAGGATCCATCTAGATTAAGATGCGTCATCACAGAGGCTGGTTCTGCTCTCCCTTTTGAACAATTTCTTTGTGTTTTCTGCCTCCAGACACAGAGACAGCAAACTGTCTGAAACCAGACATCTGTTAAATATTGCATGTGACAAATGCTGCAGAAGCCAAGTTCCAGTGGGAATCAACTTCAGTGGGAGAAGGCTCAGACCTTAACAGGGTTGGAAGTATTGATGAGTTTTATGATGTAATTAGAGCAGGCAAAATTAATCATGAGAAATAAAATGATCCGGTGAATTTGTAATTTTTGTGAGTCGGTCTCATCCCATTCAGGTTTCTGCAGATAGATTTGATCTACATTAACATTGGCTGAATAGCATAAGCCCGCGTTTCTCAAACTGTGGGTCCCGACCCCCCGGGGGGTCGCGAGCAACTTAGAGGGGGGGTCACGGTATCACAAAGTTTGAGAACCCCTGGTGTAAGCCAATCATTTGCCAGCTTGTGGATATTGTGTGCTTACAGTGTTTGCTTTTTACAGCATGTGATTGGTTTCATGGGTTTGTTTTTGTTCCCTGATTGTAGGAACAACAATGTTTAAGTAATGAAATGGTGGATTTTAAATAGCAAATGCTCTCATCCACTTGCAGATATCCTTGTTTTCTTAAGTATATGACCATTCATCAAAATACAATAGTAGAATATTTACACTGGCATTAAATTGTCCCTTCTTTTTGTAGGTGGAATAGGTTTAAAGCAGACATCATAAATCACAATGTAATTTCAAGGAGAAACTATATAGACCTGCTATAACATCACCTGAATATAAAGCAACTGTATTGTCTAGTCCATTGTTATAAGGGTGAACGTGACCTCATGATAGACCCTTTTAGTTCTCTATCTGTGTTCTTTAATCAACTGGGCATAGAAAAGAGTTGTTGTCTTTTTTTAAAAAAAAATTGTGGAGTATCTCACTCTAGTACCAAATTGTGCTTGGTGAATTATTTACTTGTTAATCCAAAAATTCTTCAGTAGTTTCTCTTTCCACAATCTAAGTCTTCAGTGAAGAGAATTTAACTTTCCTTTTTCAATTTGAACTTGGCATGTGTTTTTAGTGGTGTTTATTAAAGAGCCAAGTTTGCTCCTAGCAGCTTGCACAGATGTACAGAGGGCCTTTTGACCTGCTCCTATTGCTTCCTTCTATCCTAGCATCTAAACAGAACTGATTAAACTCTCCTTGCTTTGGCAGTGGGGAAAACAGATTAATCTGATATGGAACTGCCATCTCTGATTCAGATTTCCAAGGTCGTCTGTGCTACGCTGGCACAGATTTGCTGGAATATGCTCGCATGTGATGGCCTGATAGGTGGATTATACTCCTCCGTGCCTGTCAGCACTTCTCGGTGCTTTTGTAAACTAGCATTTAGGGAGGACTGAAACACATAATTATGCTTTTCTGTAAGAGTTCAAATCCCCGGGTTTGATGCTGAAGTTATCCAGGAATTCTAGCTGCTTGATTTGGTATTACACACAGCAGACTGTCAAACCCAAGTATCATATTCGCTGGTTCCCAAGAACATCCTTGACTCTCTCGTGCCCAGATGGAATTCTCACTGCAGCCAGTAGAATTCTCACTGCAGCCAATAGAATTCAAGAACCTCGGAATCTGCTCTGTAGATCTTGGTGATGGTTTAAACTGAGAAAGGGAATCAAAGAACCATAAGGCTAGAAGAGAGCACAAGGGTCATCATGTCTAATCCTCGCCCAAGATACAGGATTTGTGACTAGCCAGCCTCCTTTTGAAAATTCCTAGTGAAGGAGCTCCACAACCTGCCTAGACAGTTTGTTCCATTGTTCTACAATTTTTAGGAATTTTTTTCCTGAGATTTAATCTAAATTTGTGTATGCTATAGTTTGAACCCATTGCCTTTTGCAGGGCCAGCCCACAACATTTTGGCACCTGAGGTGGGGAGCTCAAATGACGCCCCCCTGCCCCCTCGCTTGGGCCAAAACTCTGAAAGGTTTGAAATCTGGACGCGGTTTTGCGCAAGAAATCCCCAGTCGCCATTTTCGCGATCGGAGCTTTTTTGTGCAAAACAATACCGCGTTGTCTACACTGGCCCTCTTGTGCAAAATCATTTGTGCAAGAGGCTTTTGCCCAAAAGGGAGCAGCATAGCATTTCCGCAAGAACACTGACAATCTTACATGAGATCGTCAGTGTTCTTGCGGAAATTCAAGCGGCCAGTGTAGACAGCTGGCAAGTTTTTCCGCAAAAGCAAGTGCTTTTGCGGAAAAACTTGCCAGTCTAGACGCAGCCACCAAGTTTCCTTGTTGCTTCTTTTTGAAAAATAGCATTGCTGCCAGTTCTTATTATAGTAAGTCACCAGTCTCCCATTCGCTGTTTAGCATGCAGTGCTCTGCTTTCTCCTTGGATAAAGAGCTGTCTTAAAGTTGATCCGTCTCTTGGTTGGTTTTGCCCTCAGTTTTCTGTTCTTAATACCTGCAAGTTGCTGGGGAGTGTTAAACTGTGGGGCAAAGATGAGAGGGAAACGTGTTTCTATTATCACTTGGATATAGCAGGCCTGCAGAAATTAACACTGATTAAAGTGTATTTGACATGATACTAACCAAACCTGCAGAGGCATGCCCTTTCCTCACTTCCTTGGTTATCAGACAGATTCACAGGAGAATTAACAAGATTCCAGCCTGTAGAACAGCTGACAACGAATGTGTTATTGACAAAACTTGTATAGACCTTTTCTGCATCCACATATTACAGTGGTTTAGCGTAATTCTGGTTTCATACCAATGTAGTTAAAATGGTGCAAACTTTTATTTTGCTTGGTGAACTAAACTGAAAAAAGCCACTATTCTACCAAAATAAGACTGGCCACACAGCCTTCTGCGCTGGTTTAACGGTATTATTTCAAAAACCGATTCACATTATACTGATGCAAATGTGCAGTGTAGACAAGCCCTTAGGTAGGTAGGAGTTGGAGGAAAGATGCCTCATGGGGTGAATACACAGCTTGTATAGCGGGAAGTGTGGGTTCTAGTTCTGTACGTGCCGTTTACTTGGTGTGTTACCTTGGACCAACATTTTCAAAAATGGCTTCTGATTGGTGGGTGCTTCTGTATTTGAGCCTCTAACTTGCAGCACATCGGGCCTGATGCTGAGAGATGCAGATGCCCTCAGCTTGCATTGTCCTCCGCTTGTGGCCTCAGCTTGCATTGTCCTCTGTTGTTGGGGAATCAGACACTCTGGGGGTATGTCTACACTACCCCCCTAGTTCGAACTAGGAGGGTAATGTAGGCATACCGCACTTGCAAATGAAGCCCGGGATTTGAATTTCCCGGGCTTCATTTGCATAAACTGGGCGCCGCCATTTTTAAATCCCTGCTCGTTCGAACCCCGTGCCGTGCGGCTACACGCGGCACGGGCTTCATTTGCAAGTGCGGTATGCCTACATTACCCCGCTAGTTCAAACTAGCGGGGTAGAGTAGACATACCCTGGAAGTCAGGCCAACCATCCAGTCACACACTTAAACCACCAATGGACCTAAATGTCTCCTTGCCTCGGTGTCCCTCTCTGGAGGATGGGGATGATAATCTGGCATCTTGCAATAGGAGTGTCATTCTGTGCAAAATGGGGAGAAATGCACTTTTTGGATTCAGTGTCTTGCTCCATCCGTGAGCCCTGGGGTCATCTCACCGCATCAAGCACTGATAGGGGATTTTGTGTCTGTGGCGTGTGCTGAGTATATATGACATACAGACTCGCCTCAGAGAAAATCACCGGGAGTTCCTGCCTATTCAAACTCAGCCCCATGTGCTTTCTTAATACAGACCAAGTTCCTCCCCGCCTCTTTCTGACAGGTTTATTAAGATGCATACTTAGAAAAATCAATATGTACTTGGTCCGATTTCTTTGTGCAGAGCTCTGTTCCTGCGGCGCTGCACACACCTGCTGAGTTAAATGGGTAACAGTGCAGGGAGGTTTCCAAGATGTGTCTCTCTGTAGCCCCCTGAAAGGAGCAAAGGGTGGGGGGAGATGAAGTAGCCACAGGCGTTCCTCCCTCTTATGTCTACACGTCTGTGAAAGCGCAAGGAGCTGTGGTCTTTACAGTGATACCATCGAGTGTGGGGAGGGCATTTTAGAAGATTGCATTGTTTGTTTCTCTCTCTGGAAAAACTTTGTGTTTCCCGAGGCCCTCCAAAAGCCAAGTGTTTTCTTAAAATGCTTTTATTTTCAGATCCATCCTTTAAAGTCTCCCTTCCTCACCCCCGAGGCCCTCAAGCCAAGTGTTTTCTTAAAATGCTTTTATTTTCAGATCCATCCTTTAAAGTCTCCCTTCCTCACACTTTCAGCTCAATCCAATGTCACGTTCCCGCAAAGGGGAGCAACTCAGTGTCGGGACTGCAGATATTGCAGGCAAGTTGCAAAGCCGCTGTTGGGACTGCAGATATTGCAGGCAAGTTGCAAAGCCACTGTTGGGACTGCAGATATTGCAGGCAAGTTGCAAAGCCGCAAGTGCCTAATCTTAGAGAAAGTGAGAGGGGAAATCTAATCGGAGTGCTCCAAATCAGGAGCGCAGCGGCAGAGATAATTGTAATTGAGGTACTGTTTTTAACTGAACTTGGAAGATTAAGTAAAGAGGGCAAAGGCTTAACTAGAAATTAAATGAGGGACTAGATGGCTGAGAGGATTGGTAATAGGATCTGGAGCCTTCCAGCTGTAGGTCAGCAGTTCAGAGCTGGCTCTGGATGTTAATCGTTTAAAGTCATTACAGCCTGAAAGTTGTGTGGGACTTTCCCTCTCTGAAAAGACTCTGCACTGTACCTGGTGTGTCATAAAACATACAATACAAAGGGCCCCATCTCAAGGAAAGCAACCAGTGCTTATTTGCCCATCATGGGTACATTGTAATACTGAAATGTCTGGCCCCATGGATGGCTTTGCTGTGTCAGGGCTGAGGCCCAGTATTTTGGGTGTTGTAGCTCATACTGTGGTTGCAAAATTGCCTCCCTGGGCCAAATTTGGTGAGGAAGATGCTGTTTGCTGGAGATGATGAGATAAAGGGAAAAACTCAGCTTGCCCATCAGATCTCTTGGTAAGTTTGCAAGGAGTTTGTATTTAGAGACCCACCTACCCCTTTCCTCAGCTTTTTACTTGTAAATTAAGTTCATTTGCTATGAAAATATAGAGAAAATATACATAGAACCCCTAACAACGCCTCTTTTCAGAGCAGGACGGCATTTTAAAAGAGTCTCTCCAGTTAATCGTAACCATAGGGTAAGAAAATAAGTCATTGGCTGGAAATGGCTTGTGATTTAACACCATTATCACCACTTCAGGGAAGCAGATGTGCTAACTAGATTCAGAGCCTGGAGAGGAAGAAAGGGAAAGCTGAAGGAAATTCCTGGGGCTGGCTGTCATTTTCCCAGAAGATTAATGTTGAGCGCATGCTGTCATTCTTCACCATCAGGGGGCTAACGCTATGAGGAGCGCAGCACCACGCTGTCATCTAACTGCAGTGAATAAACGATGTCTCCAGACACAGTAGACACCTAAACTGCTAGCCGTAGATCCATGATTTAAATATCATAACTCCTGGGTCTGACGAGATTGTCTTTGATGTTGTTAGTATTATGGCGCCCTGATTAGTTCCACTGGCGACAGCTTCCTGTCTGTCTGCCTGTCTGTCAATCACAGCATCCGCTATCATAATAACTAAGGCCATGTCTGTATATACAGGGCTGCACCGATGCGTCTGTGTGGGAGAGAGGCAATGGGAGAGAACTCTCCATCGGTAGAATAAAAGCACCTCTGTTAGTGGCAGACGTCATGTCAACTGGAGAAGCTCTCATGCTGACATGGCATTGTGCAACACAAGCATTATATTGGTGTAACTCCTGCCAGTTGAGGAAGATGGAGCCAATACATTGAGAAGCATGGGGTGCAATTAGCCTGTTGTGCTAATGAAGACAGCACTCAACAAGTTGAAATCGTCTTGTGATGAATGAGGGTGGGGAACATAATACTCTTTTCTGCCTTTTCTGGGCATGCTAGCCATAAAGTCTTTTCACAGTGGTTAACTCCTGAGTCCTAACCCTAAAGGCATAGCTATACTATGAAACTATTTTGAAATAACTAAAATCGATTTAATAACAAAATTGGACTAGCATGTCCATACTATGGGGAAGCCTCGAAATTAATCTGAGGCAGGCTCCATTAAGATGGATGCGCTACCTCGACTTAGAGCCAGCCCCCTGCTGGCTCTGGGAGCAGCTTGCTCCTTGCTGCCTTCCCCGGCACAGTCCCCAGCTAGAGTTGCCAGATGGTTTAAACAAAAATAGCGGAAAAAAAGGACTCCAAGTAAGCCAAAAAAAAATTTAAAATAAAACAACATTAAAACAGCATGTCCTCTTTAAGAGTTAGTGCAGGGATAGGAAACAGGGGAGAAGTTGAGCACTACGACCCAGGGGAAGCATTTCCCCTAGGTCTTTTGGCTGGCAGCCATTTTGCTTCATTTTCCTATGCCGGGTAAACTAATCTACATGCCTCTGTCGCCAGAGGCATGTAATCTAGACGTACCCTAAGACCCAGGGGAAACATTCGCCTATGTCTTTTGGCCTGGCAGCCATTTTGTGCCGGCAGCCTTGGGGAACCAGGCAAGCATGGGGGCTGGGGTTGTGGGGCTGGAGGTGTTGGGGGCCGGGGGTGGTCAGGCCAGATGCTGAGTGTTTGTAGGGTTGCCAGGTATCCGGCATTTTCACCTCCTGTCCAGGGAAAAATTCAGAAAATATCGGACATCTCAGGTGTCCGGTATTGTCTGAATTTTTTTTACCAGACAGGAGCCGAAAATACCGGACTGTCCGGGTGAATACCGGACACCTGG